ATGCCTGTCCAAAAAGGCCAAGAGCAATGTTAACCAAAGTGCTGCACTGTGTAATTGGCATACACAAATGCTAACACTGAAGGACAGAACTGTTGTCCTGTGATACCGAGGAGAAAGACGCTTAAGGAAATGAGCTGACTGCTTTGCTCACACAGGCAGCACTAAGAGTAGCAGGGCGACTGAAATCCAGGCGTCTGCATCCCTGATCTGAAGCGTGTGTGAGCCACAGTCCTGCCCACCGTGGCTGGCTTTCTCATTTTGGTGGTGCAAATCATAAGTGATGAGTATTCCAGAACGCTGGCCAGTAAGTGACAGCCCCTGAGAGGTGCTGCAGGTCCTCAAAAGCAAACCAAGATAATTTACACACCTCGATTCACTTAAAGCTGAGACTCACCGGCACTGAGGCAATACTGTCAGCCGAGACTTGTGAGTGTGAGTGTGTAAATATTAAACCTTTGGGCAGACTGTCCATTTGTAGGACTTCCCACAACACAAAGTGGATACACTTCTTAAAATGATGGTATATACCACCATTTTAGTATCGTCATTTTCTTCAGAAAGGAGGGCCAAAGCAGTGACTATATCCTGTGTCTTTAAGGTTTATCCTGTTGTCGAGTTCAAGGCTGGGCAGGATGGTCTTTTGTTTGCTTACACAGTCACTTCCGTGCAGGGTTACTATCTTTGTAGAAAGAGTAGCATGCTAATTCAGTGTCCAAGACTGGGTGGATTTATTTCACCTGCGTGGTCGCCAGGAGCTTTGGAGATTTTAGTAAGCTCTGGCTAAGGGACGTTGTCACAGCACCACTGACAGCTTTTGTACCGCTCAGCTTTCAAACTCCTCCTCAGCTGTCAGCACGTGGGCCCTTTCAGGACCAGATCCTCTCATGCTGTGTGCTGCCTGCAGCTCGCTGGAAGCTCCGCTTTGACTAAAAGGATTGCTTTCTCATCTCTTGCCCTTGTTCTCTCTCATTTAGTTTTAAAACGTGCTTAAAGTCTTTTTATTCTGAAAAGTACACACATTTGTCATCTCTGAAACCATTCTGATGTCGAGGTAAGGGCCTCCAAAGAAATGCTAGACATCTTAACGAATAATTGATTAGAAAGGAGCCTGGCAGTGTTAATTGTGAGCTATGGCATAACAAATACCAAAACAGAGCTTTCCGGATCTTTCCAAACTGTGAGTAAAGTCCTGAGCATGCTGAAGTGGAGTTATGGATTGATGAGAGAGTGTGTGGTACTGTGATAGACCTTTAGGTTATTTTTGTCGTGTGCAGTATTCTTTGGTTGATACTTCATTTATTAACAGTTGTGTAGTTTTGCTATTGTTTTATTTTTTTTAATGCTTGACTACTTGAAGCCACTTTGTGGATATTTATTTATCAGACATAATTTGTAAGGTGGATTAGAGCTGAGCTTCAGGAACCAGTGAGCAAAGAGAATGATGTGTGGTAAAACCCTGGCTGGCTTCTTTAGTCAACCCCTTCATGGCGACACAGTGGGGCAGAGCCAGCCAGTCACAGGGGCTCTGACTAATTTGTATTTTAAATGTTCTTTTCAAGGAAGACTGGAGAAAAAAGAATCTCTCAAATGTTATTACATGGAAAACATTACAAATAGTCTTAAAGTAGAGCTAGTGTCCCGTGTCCCCACTGAGAAGCACTTCACAGACAATTGCGCTTTTGTGGACCTATGCTATCTAATCTATGAGTAAGTAGCCACATGTGACTAATGAAATTTAAATTAATTTAAAAATCAAATAAATGGGGAATTTGGTTCCTCCGCTGCAGTAGCCACCTTTCCCTGCTTACCAGCTGCATGCAGCAGCGGCTGTTGTGTCCACGCATCCCACGACACCGTTGAGTGCAGACCGTATAGAACAGTAGCGGAAACACCAAAGGGTGGTTTCTCTCTGGTGTTTTGTTGATCTTCTTCTAGAGTTTTATTAGCATTTTAAAATGCCCTTTCATGGAAACAGAAAGCATAGCTGTTAGGAGAATGCAGGGGACGTTCCAGCGTTGATCTTGGTGCTCCTGCTCTCTCTAACCGCTCACAGCTTTACACATGTGCTCTCCCACGAGCTTGGATCGAGGCCACGGTTACAGATGAGCTGCACCATAAGGAGCAAAATGCGCCTTGCTTTCCAGTAGGGCGGAGAGGAAAACATCTGAATCCGAATTATATAAAACTTGAATTGGAGTTTTATGCAGTGTGGAAGAGTTGCCTGGAAAGAGAGCATTTCTAGGATCAGAAACTGAGAAGAGACTTTGTTTGTGTCACAGAGGAAACGGCAGTATTCGAAGAATTCAGTGGGAAGTATGATGAATTAAGAATATAAATTATTCCAAATGAAGCAAAGTATTTTCTTTTCAAAGTGGTCTTATTTAAAAGGTAGCCCGTTATCTTTTATTAAAAACACGGAAAGTGTAGACTTTGAGATAAGGTCACTTAGAGTCCCCTCAGTCAGCCACTGTCACTTGTAACGATTCAGCGAGTTTTCTAGTCCTTCAGAACCAGTGCTGTGGACCGAGATGGTTGTGGCACCAACGTGCAAATTACAGTGCTGTGAGCTCTCTGTACGCAGAGACTTAGAGCTGTCACGTACAGTAAGGACCCCTGCTTTGCCACATGTGGAAGCTGCACATTTCTGGAAACCAAGGACAAAAGCAGACATGTTTGTGTCAGGCCACCGTCCGACCTGGGATGACACACTTTGGCTGTCTTCTGTTTCAATAAGTGAATAGAGTCTATGTTGCTGTGGTGATCGTGAGCACTTCTACAGACCCCACTGGCACAGCTATTTACCCTATGTCCTTTCGCAAGTATGACAGATTTGAGACTTAATCTGGCACCAAGAGTTTGGAACAAGAGATGGAAACCTGTTATCCACCTTTTAAAAGAGAGGTGGCAGGGGTAGTGCGGGGTGGTGGGGGGAGCGGTGGAGGTGGGATGTCATCTTTATTTTCTCTACCCAAGGCTGGCTGTGAGCTCTGTCTCCTTCCCCAGTCCCCCAAGGTGTGCTTATGTGCATGCTGAACAGTGCCCTTACTGTTAGCCAGCTTCTGCTGCAAAGGGCAGAGGCAGCTAAGCAGCCGGCTTATGCTCACTCCCAGGGCCAAGTACTAAAGGAACTCAGCTCAGAATCAATCTGTTTGGCTCCAGGGTTTGAGTACCTGATACATTGTTCCAGTTAAATAAATCAACACACATAGACATACACAGACACAGACATGCACATGCGTGTTCTCATTCTCTTACACACTCAGATATACACTTACACCCACTTTCTTTCATACACATTCACACATACACTTTCTTACATACTCACATATACACTCCTGCACACCTACTTTCATTCACATACACTCTCTTACACACACATACCTCTGCCTCCCCCATCCCAACCTTGGCAGTACTTGCAGACCATGATAATGTAACAACCAGCACTCTTCCCTCACCATTAAGTACAATGGTTGATTGTTCTGTTCATCAGTAGTAAGACAGTTCTAATTTATTAAACTTCTGGTAGCTATTCTTTTAGTCTCAAAGATAACTCATAAAATTAGCCACTATTCCCAAATTAATATTTCAACATATACATTGTGATTCTTAAATTATATAAGTGAGTTACCATGTCTCATCAACTTAAGTGCCCAAGTAAAAGTTAAAAGTTCAAGTTCAAAGGCAGGCATGGTAGCTCACACCTACAATCCTAGCACCTTGTGCAGGCAAGGATTGCTGTACTATCAAGACCAGCATGGGCTACATAATGAATCCCAGGGTAGCCTGGGCTACATAACAACACACTTTCTTAAAAAATTCAAGAGAAAAAGAAAAATTCAGTCCATAGCATTACTGATGGTTTTCAATATTTATATAAGATAGAATTTAGTTTTGTTGTCTTGTTCTAGGACTATAAAAGATATCATTAACAAACAGTATTCTAGATTCTGTGCCATATGTTACCCAATTTTAAGGTGTAATGATGTGATCTTTACATACCATGACTGGAGTTAGAATTATAGATTCTTTTGCCACTTTGGTCAGTTCATGGCCCTCTCCTAACTTAAGTTGGTACCCCGAGTTAGCCATTGTGCTTCTGCATGGTCTGCCTCACCCGATGCTGTTGGAGAGTACAAGGACAGCTGATCACTGGACAAACTCATGGGAGTGTACTCAGTGAGAAGCCTGGTTTACAGAGCTTCGGGAGCACCAGTCCTTTGAGTAGTCGCTGTCAGTTCTGTAGAAATCTTGTGAAGCCATGGCTTTCCCCCTTCTGTAATAGGGTTCATCCCAAAATATCCCAACAGTGTAAACCATTCTTTAAACCTGTCTTTTTCTGTGCTGGCAACTTGATGACCTATCCCCACACTGTGGGTGGGACCCTGGTGTGCAAATATTCACTCAGCCAGAAAATCAAAGGAAGAGGCTTCCACGCGGAATTGGTGGTGGTTGTTTTCCTTGAAGTGTGCACTTGCTGGGAACTGAGAAAAGCAAACCAGCCATTTTGTTGCCTTTGATTTGGACACCTCACTTTAATCAAGTCTATCAAACTCAGTTGGTTTGTTTTTGGTTTTGTTTTTTGTTTGCTTGGGTTTTTGTTTTGTTTTGTTTTTCACTCTTTATATTCTTTGAGGGGCTCGCCACCCAGCTCCCAAATAAATACAGAGACTCATTCTTACTTATGAATGCCCAGCCTTAGCTTTGCTTGTTTCTAGCCAGCTTTTTGTAACTTAAATTATCCTATCTGTTGCTGCTGGGCTCTTATCTTTCTCTAGTCTATATACCTTTCTTTACCTCTTACTCCGTGTCTGGCTGGGTGGTTGAGTGGCTGCCCCGATGTCCTCTCTCCTTCTCTTCTCAGTCCTCAATCTTTTCACTTTTTCTCCTTTTATTTATTCTTTCTTCTTGGCAGCCCCGCCAATTCCTCTTCTGTCTAGCTATTGGCTATTCAGCTCTTTAGTAGTCCAACCAGGTGTTTTAGGCGAGCAAAGTAACACAGCTTCACAGAGATACACATCTTTGCCTCATTAAACAAATATCCACAGCATAAACAAATGTAGCACATCTTCAGCTAGTACTCCACAACACTCTCCACTGTAACCTGGTCCACTCTGGTTATGTACCAAGCATATTTTTTACTTTGTTATAGGTAAACAGAAAATACTTTCTCAGCCTTGGGGTTGGGGTACACACAACAACTTCCATTGGTCATTGGCTCAGTCTACCCAATTAATATTTTTATGGACCAACACTACGTGAGGTGTAATTATACCCTGACACTGTGGAGCAATATAGACAGTTAAGTATTGCCTTTGTTTTCAAGTTCATCATAACTGTCATATGAATGCTGGAGTGAGAATTGAACACATGGATCCTAGCTAGGCTGGAGGACTGGAAACCAGGCTGATGCAGTGATTTAAGAAGAGAAATAATACTATCATAAGGAAGGCAGCGGCAGTAAAAACGAAAAAAAATGTTTATGTCAAGTAATCATAAAGAGACAAATGCTTGGTGAGTTACTAGAAATAGAAACAGCTCAAGGGGGAGGGGGACCAAAGATGGCTCCTGGATTTTAGTGTGAGGGCATTTGGTGGACAGAGAAAAACAGATTCCTAGTGTGAGGGCATTTGGTGGATAGAGAAAAACAGATTCCAAATCCAAATCAGACCTTGTAGCACAGCCATGGAAACTTGATGCTGTGGATATGAACAAGATGTTGTGAGGTAGTCAGAGGAGCTGCAGATTCTTTTTTTCCCTCCACAAAGACACCCCAATTCCAATGGCAAATACCATGCTTAAGAAAATCTAATTATAAGAGAAATACATCTTCGTGTAGATTGCCCTAGGGCACTCAACATATATTCTGTAATGGGAAGGTTTCCGATTCCACAGAGCCATGTCATATCATAATAAACTTGCCTGATAAATCAGGTGTGTCATACTCAGGAGGGGACTTGATCATTAAAAAAAAAAAAAGATATGATATACTTACTTCACAGGTGAATCTTTGCTGCCCATTGAGCCTGGCTGATTTACTGCAGGAGCCAGTGGGGTGTGAGTAGAAGGCAGGATTCCCATCATTCCTTAGCATCTCTTTGCATCTGCTTCACAATGCCAAATACTCCTTTTTTGGAAAAAAAAAATTCAGAATGAATTTATTGGCCCTAGTCATTCTTCAGAATTAAACTATCCAGTCCACTTGAAACACAGCTGTCTGTGAAAAGACCCGTCAGCTCCAGCTCGTGAGGATTAGAATGTTCTTTCCCAAGCCCCAATGCTCCAGAAGATGTTCAGAGTACGGACATTCCTCTTCAGTTACCCAGCAAAAGATTTGTACCCAAGCAATAGAAACACTTCATACAATCAATAGAAACTAGATAATCTAGTTAACAAAAATAATCAAGGATTCAAATATACCCAGAAAAGATTCAAATATTCAATAAACTTAGGAAAAGAGGTTTGTTATCGTAATTAATTAGAAAAATGAGCATTAAAGTGCAGTGAGACACCTTTCCATGAGAATGAGCCCTCTGAGTAGGATCACTGATAACAGATACAGTGTACATGCACAGCAGGTGGAATTCCCAGGCGCTGCCCGTGAGAACGGGCCTGGGTGGGTCAGAGCCTCTGGATACTCACTTGGCAGGTCTGCCTGCGCTCAGTGGATAGCTGCTTTAGGGTTAGCCACTCCTCTTTGAGATATGTGCCCATTACAGTGGATGTGTGCATCCAACAAGAGACGGGAACATTTATAGCAGCTTTTAACAAATAAACTACAGTGGAAAACCTCATGTTCATTGCTCGTAAAGGAGTAAGTAAATGACTCAGTGGTTAAGAGCACTGCCTGCTCTTCCAAAGGTCCTGAGTTCAATTCCCAGCAACCACATGGTGGTTCACAACCATCTGTAATGAGATCTGGTGCCCTCTTGAGGAAGAGACCTGGTCAGTCGTCCTCATCAACTTAGATCATGAAACCCAATATGGACAAGTTCAACAGAACCGCCATATACAGGCTGCCCAAGCATGCTTCATCATTGCCAGGGCATAAATTTCATTGATTCATTCATTTCAGTATAATCACACAATGGAAACTGGGAAAAAGGTGAGCTCTCTGTCTTTCTCACAAAGCCACAGTTGTTACTCAGAAGTCATGCTGTGGAGAGAAGCAGACACAGAAGGGTTCATGGGTGCGATTTTGTGCATATGAATTTCAAGATTAGAGCAATTCAAATTCAGTTGTGCTAAAAGCCAGGTGTTGTTGGCATGGTGGGTTGATGACTGGAAAGGAGTGCCAAGGATCCTCCCAGAGCACTAGAATGTTCTGGGGTGCTGGTATGCTTGGATCTGAGTGGTGGTGATTGGCTGAGTAGAACTGCATATGGTACATGATAAATGGTATATATGTAAAGCTTTATGTGCTTTCATACACAAGAAACAAAATGCTAGCTCAGTCTAGTGTTGCTTCAATCTCTTACCCAATTGAAAACATCCCCTCTTCCTTTCCCACGTCTGCTCAACCAGTAATCTGCAATATGGAAAAGAAAATTGTGTTGTTGGTTTTTTCCTGTCCTTGCTTCCCTTCTTCTCCCTTCTTGAAGCAGTCTTTGTCCCTGTCAGGTTAGCCACATAGGAGAGGGAAGAGTTGGAGGAGAGTGGGTACAGTCTGGGTCTCATACTCCACTGCCTTCGGGCCTCAATGTCCTCATTGCACACCTCCTAAAGGTTGACTCCCTGTGCAGTGGTTCTCAACCTGTAGGGGAGTAACAGATTGGCCATCCTGGGTATCAGGTACACATTACAATACATAACAGTAACAAAATTACAGTTATGAATTAGCAGCTAAAATAATCCTATGGTTGGGGGTCACCACAGCATGAGGAACAGTATTGAAGGGTCGCAGCATGAGGAAGGTTGAGAATGGCTATTCTCGTGGGAGTGCTATGGGATCAACTCCCAGCATTGAACTCCAAAGTGGGCTTGACCATTGATTCTTAAAGAAAATCAGCAGCCTTGGCTCCTGAATCTCCCTCTGCCTCTGGAGGCATGGTCAGAGACCTGAGACAGCACTCTTCTTTGTCTTGCTTGACTTGTGAGAAAGCTTGAATCTTTGCAGAGCTGAGGGAGCTCACACTCGTTCCTATTGTAGCCTCTGCTCGCAACCTCTCCTCTCCTAGCCTCTGAGAAGGAGCAAGGCTCCTAATGGCCTCCCAGTTCTGGAAGACATGTTCTCCATGCTCTCCTGAGATGCTGCTCCCTTCGTTGTGTGGGACTCACCTCGAGAAGGGGTCGTTTTCTGTGGCCCAATGACTGCTGGGGGAAAGGACGTGATTATCTGTGACCCAATGGCTGCTGGAGGAGAGGGCGTGGTTATCTGTGACCCAATTACTGCTCTCAGATGCCTCAAGATGCTGCTGCAAATCTTTCTACTTTTATTTATACCTGGGAAATGCATGCATTAACTTCCTTGTCACTGACATCAAAGTTGCTATTGAAAAAAAGCAACTTAAGAAAGGCTTATGCTGGCGCATAATTGGAGGGCACAGTACAGTTCATTATTGCAGGGAGGGCATGGTGGAAGCGGGTCACAGATGGCACTCCTCAGCCTCCTCATAGAAGATTGTTTTCGTGGCTCAGGGGCTAAGAGGCCTTTCTGTGCTCTGAGAGGACGTGTTTGGTTCCCAGCACCCGGGTCAGGTGACTCACACACAGTCTACATTCGTCCCTGTGCTTGAAGATTATCAGGAATTCTGGATAACTGAAAGAGCCCGGTGAGTCTGTTTCCGCATGTGTAGCATCTGATTCACATTTTTGCTGATGAATGGAATAAGAACTATATACATCCAAAACCGTGCACTCACTCCCATCCCCGTGCAGTGGTCATCCCTCAGTGAAAGGCTAACTTCACGCTTAGCAGTAGTCCGACTCTGTCTCTGCCTGAAACCCCTCATTTCTCTCCTGAGTGGAGCAGCTTTCCTCAGTTACAGGCTGTTGGTAGAAGGATAAGAGGTGTGGGATTCATTATGAAAATGTGTCTTTCCTTTCAGTTTTAGCTTTTGGAGACTTTTATGTGCTGTATTTGAAAGTAAACCAACTGTGGCCTCCTAGGAAAGGGCTTTGCGTCAGAGACATGCGTGTAAACCTGTGCTCCGCGGCTGTGTCTTAGATACTTGTTTATTCAGCAAACCCACTGGAAGCTTACTTTAAACAATTGGGTGCTTTGTAGACAAAGAGAGCACGGTGATTTTTTAAAAAAGATACTAGTCTATGGGGGAAAACTGAAGTCACTCTGTATAGTGTCAGGTGGTGCCCATCTTTATAGACAAACATCAGATGAATTAGGGTAATGGAAGTTGGGAGAGGAAGAAGGTTGGGGTGGGATGGTCTCTTACAAATAAGAGACAGTCAAGTAAAGGGCGGCACGTGGACCCCAGAGCCATCTCCAGTGTGCTTTGAAAAGGCGGAGTGCTAAGTGATGGAGTAGCTGGAAGGACCCTTCCTGGCAGGCCGTTTACTGTTTGGAGCAACAACCACCAATATGTTTTTGAAGATTGAAAAAATACATGTAAAGTACCTTTCACAGGGTTCTGAGGTAACTGAAAGTTTTCTTCCCATTTCAAGTTTTAATAAAATATGAACTTAAAAATTCATAGTCAAAGATTTTCAAAACGGTCTCAAGTCAGTTTCTGAGTTTGCAAAGTGTTCAACTAAGTGTGAGGGTGAGCCCCAGTGTGGGCTTTGGTGAGTCTAACAAGCAGTGTGTTAGACCATAGCTTTATGCTTTTCAAGGCATTAGGCTAGCAAGGAGCTCTCAGCTCAATGTGCCATGGCTCTAATGGTCAGGAGTTAAAATACATGAGAATTTTTCATGCACAAAGTGGCATAAATCATTTGTTAAAAAATCAGAGCTGCAAAAACCAAGAATTTCTGCACTGTGGAAGTCTGGTTTGCTAAATTATCCTTTATATAAATGATCAACAAATTATGCCCACTTTAAATTTAAAAAATAAGGGAATGAATTTGGTTCTCATCTTTCCTAGGCATTTGAGACATCATGGTGCTTATTTTAAGTAAGCTTCCAGCTTTACCAAGTGTGACCCAGTGTTACAGTGCACAGTCTAGCCTGTGTGTGATGACATCACTGCCTGCCTCTCTGTTTACATGGTAGCCAAATCATCTATAAAAATCAGGAGTCAGAGCTTCTGTCCAGAAAATGATGAAGATCGAGGGTGCCCATGAAGTGTGAGCGGGGCTCCAGAAAATTTAAATGGTTTTTCATACGCTTTAGTTTTCTGTCTATTTCTTGAAAACTGACTCATAGGTGTTTAAAATCTGTCAGATACCTTGCCGGGAAGCTTGTAAACTCATTCCACTCTGAGAAAGTAATTTCTCCAAATTTCTCAAGCACATTTCTGTGAGTGGTGAGAGGGAGCCAAGGCTCCATTCCACATTTAAATCCACAGCACTCCAGCTCCTACCCCGGCTACCGAGCAGAGGAAGGAGTAACTGCATTTGTGCGGCAATGTATAGAAATAAATGTATTGAAATCCCAGTGAAAGTGTCTGCTGTGTTTGACATAAGATAGCTGAGAACGCATTCTCCTCACGTCCATCTTCACGGTCCTGAGTTCCCAGGTCAGTGTGGAAACATGCTCCATTCATTTAGAATGAAGTACACACCCCAGTAGCCATCAGCTTGGTGATTGCAAGGCATTTTGTTTGAAATAACATGACTACCCCTGTTGTAAATGCAGAGCTCATTGGACTTGGTTCAGAGAGGTTGGAGCCTGGTGACCCCTATTTGTTATTTTCCTCAATATATGAAAAATGAATTTGTATTCTAAAGTGTGTGGCTTTGATGAGTAGTGTGGACCTTTCATTGTGTCTTTTCCCAAGGCTTTCACCCTCATTCTGTTTCTAGCTCCAAGTGTGCCTTTAAATTTATTCCTTATAAAAAGTCAGTCTGTATATTGAAAATTATTCATGTTTTCCGTGGATCTTCTTCATTTCCACCTGTGCTGGATTTTCCAAGAGTGGACACAGTCAGATGGTTTTGTTCCTCTTAAGAAAGCCCTGACAGGCCCATGACACTGGCTACTGCTGTAACTGTACATTTCTATACATAATTGATGGCCTAGGCCCCAGCAGACGGCACCAGCACATAGCAGTGTAGATTACCATATGGGTGGTGAAGGGGAGGGGGATCCGGCCTTTGAATTTTCTATTTCTGAATAGACATAGCCCCTTGCTCACAACAATTCCAGAAGGACTAAGTTTACCGTGGCTACAAATATTACTCAGGGAGCAAAGCGCCCCGCACTGGACGGCTTGCCCAGGCTTTCCGTGCTAACTCTATTAGCCTGTCTTACACTCCTCAGCTTTTGAGTTCACTGACATTTTGGTAATGGCACCCACATGCACATGTGCTCACACAGACACACACATACACATGTGTGCATACATACACACACATGTCATGTGGCAAGAAAAGTTAGATTCCAGACAGCGCTCTTTGAATCATCCCCTAATCTAATTGCCCTTTTTAATTTAATTATAAAAGGTGAGAATGCTACACAGCAGGACTGGTTGTCTTTTCATGAGTGCTGTGCTTGAGAGTCCTGTCCTGGCTCTTGTGTGTCCTCCTTGCTGTCCCCACTCCAGCCATTTCCTGGCACTGTAGCCTTGCCTTGCTTGGCCACCCAGACTCCTTCAGTCTCAGGTTAGCCACCACCCATTTCAGGCTTCCATCGTCACCAGTACCCAGCCTTCCCATTTTTTGTGCCATGGCTTTTTTGCAAGTTGGCTCAAGGTAGAAACATAAAGGCCCTTTGCCATGATTTTCCAAATCCTTTGTCATGTGCCCATCATGGCATCAGTGTTCTGTAATTATTATTGAATAAAATTACAAAAATCACATAAAATTGAATTTTAAACATAAAAATAATTAGAATTTTTCAGGTAAATAGTAAATTGTTAGGCTTTATAGCTGTGCTTGACTTTGACTTTGTTGTGCAGTGTATATTCTGGATATTAACCAAGAACCTGTCTGGTCTGCACGAAGCCGTGAGTGTGAGGTGGCATACTCATGTGATCCCAGCATTTGGGAGGTGTAGACAAGACCATAAGTTGAGGTCATCATCTACTTCATAAAAGGAAATAAGCATAACTGAAAATTGTAAGCCAAATACAAAGAGAGCCCCTTTGTGATAACTAAACTTCTTGCTTTATTTTGATTTAATTCCCTTTTCAAAATACAGTTTCACAGAACAAAGAATTTCTGTCTTGTACTGAACATTTACCTAGATTGATAATTTGATATAGCCAGAAAAGGGTTTTGTTTTCCTCATCTCTTGAATTGCCCTTTCCTTTTAGAAAACACAATGCACAGCTAGTAAAGGCTTCACAAAAAATGACTGTTGTTTAGAATGGCTCTTAAACACTGTTTAACTTCAGAACATATTCCACCATTCAAGCATTAAAAACAACATGCTTATTACGCCTTCAGTTTGCAAATTGCTCTTAGAGTTTGTAAATTAGTCATTGATTTCTAGGAACAATAATTTTGAATTCCAGCCATATCAACGATGGCTAAGTCCATATTGTTTGTGATCCATCAGAAAATGAGCCACAGTGTGGAGCTCTGCAGGCTTCAGAGCAAGTTAGCTGCCATCTGTGCAGGGGCTTCGTCGTCCGTTAATGGGAACATTAACCACACCGTGGCTTGATTCAGAACACTGTCGCACCTGCAGAATGTGTAGTGACTTGCCAGTATGTTTAGCTGACACTACCTGCCAGTAAAAACTTGGTTGAGGAGGCTAGGATCAGATGGACCAGTTGTTGAGTGTGAGCATGACCTGTGTTCAGATACATGATCCCTAGGGCTTGTTGGCCCCGGGGCTTGCTGAATCCGTGAGATTCCTGATTTCACAATCTAGAGTGGGGGCTGGAGGTGGCTCCGAGTTTAGGAGCCCTTGATCTTGGAGAGGACCAGGGTTAGATTTCCGGCACCTACATGGTGATTCACAGCTGTCTGTCCCTCCAGTCCCAGGAGATCCAGTGCCCTCTTCTGGCCTGTGGGCACAGTACACATACGTGCAGAGGAAACACTCACATATGTAATTTTTTAAAAAGATGAATAAAAAAGAAGAAGAAAGTAAGGTGGAGAGTGGTAAAGAGTAATCTGACATTGACCTCTGACCTCTACACACACGAGCATACACACACACACACAGAGAGAGAAAGAGAGAGAGAGAGAGAGAGAGAT